CTTTGGTTGATCTCCTCCTCCGTTCGCATGAATTTGTCCGCGAGCTTAAGGAACTCAGCAATGGTCACGGGCTGATTGGCCACTATGTGCCACTTGAACTCCTTGTGTGTCACCCCCATCTTGGCCGCTGCGAGCTGAACTGCAGGGTCCAGGCGTGAGATCTGCAGGCATGCGTCATTAAACCGCTTGATGTAGCTGTGGATGGGCTCCCCTTCCTTTTGGACCATGCTGAGGAGGGTCTCCTTGGTTCGGGGGCACCGCTTAATGGTGACGAAGTGCGCGGTGAAGACTTGCACGAACTGGGCCCAACTCCTTATTGACCCGGTGGCCAGGTTCCTGTACCAGGTGCGAGCCACTCCTCTGAAGGTGGTAGTGAAGGCTACGCACATACAAGACTCGTTGGCCCTACCCAAGTGCATCTGGGAGTGGAAGGCATCGACATGGTCGCTGGGGTCAAAGGACCCATCATACTTGTCGAGTGGGGGGAGTTTGAAGTCTCCGGGCATAGGAACTACAAGGAGTTTTGATGACAGGGGGGAAGGGACTGAGAGGATAGGGGCAGCCTTTACCTCGTCCGAGCTCGCTTCTTTACCTTGGACTCGGGCAGGACGCGGGTTGCAGTTCGACGGCTTCGCCGACGGCGCCTCTGCTGCTTGGAAGGCCCGGCGTTGGCACTGCTTGCCTCGGTGTTCCCGAGCTCGATGGGCCTGGACTGTTGGAGGTAGTCCGCGGCAAAGGCGCTGAACCGATTTTCGATGTGCAGGGGCCCATCCTGAGAGCGCCGAGGTGATGCTGATTTGATGGATCGGGTTCCTGGTCCGCCGGCGCGTGGCGAGGCGGGGGCAGCCGCTCTCTTTCTCTTGCCAGGGGATGAGGCATGGCTTCTAGAGGGGCTCCGAGCCTGGGAGGCCTGAGCTTGGGAAGCCTCCTAATGGGGGCGCCCGCCTTGAGGGGAGGGCTTGGCTCGCCTAACGGCAGGGTGCCGAGGTGGGAGCTGCGGCTAACTTTGAGGCAGTTGGGGGAACTGCTGCTGGTAGTGGTATTGGGATACATGGTGCAGCATCTGCTGCTAGTAGATTTGATGTTGTTGAAGTTGTTGCATTTGGGCTTGGATGGCCCGCATGCCATGCACCAGGTCATCAAGTTGGTTCTGGCTAGTTGCTAGGGGAACAATGGTTGGTTCAGCAAAGGTGGTTCCAACAGAGGGAGGAAGGGGGACGTTAATGGCAGGAAGATCGGGCGCCACTGTTCGTGGCGCATTCAGGCTGGGGATCCCATCCACCGGAAGGGGGATGGTGAACTGTCCGATGCACACCACGGGGACTTGAAGTTGTTCCCTAGTGGCGTTCATCTCCGTGCTACGTCCGGCATTGCTGGAAAAAGCCATGGGTGTTGGGGTTTCTTGGAAAAAAGGTGCTATGAAAGTTTTAGAGGGAGGCTTTTAGAAGCGTTCCCATAGACGGCGCTAATTGATGGAGCGCAATCCGGTCGGTCCTATCTATCAACGATCTTGCCTCTGATTGGAGCAAAAGATAACTGAAACGGGGAAGAAAGCGAATAGTCTCTAGGGAGGAACCCGGTGAGAGTGCTCCGAAGCTCAAGTTAGTATTTTCTCAAAGGCAAGATAAAAAGGCAAATGGCGCAAAGTTATCACGTACCTCCATTATTGGGGGAAAGAGGGCCTTTTATAACCACTTCGTGCACTCACTCCCAAGCTCCTGTCTGGTCGGGTATCATTACCTCTGCACTTCTACCAGTTCGGGTGTCATCACCTCTGCTGGGTCATACAACCGCCACTGCTCTCTTTGTCGGAGTTGTCTCTGTAACTGGAGGTGGCGGTGGCAGGTGGCCGTTGAAGTGTGGCTGTCAAGCGTCAGATCCTAAGTTAGTCAGGCGCGCCGCCTCAGGATACAGACTCTTTTGGTGTCAGGTACGGTTGTTCAGTTCGGCAACCTGGAGACGAAATGCCGGAGTGGTGTGCGAGGTGAAGTCTTGAGTTCGGATGGAAGTGTGGCCCGAACTACCCTGGGGTGGGCTAGTTCGGGTTGTTGCCCTTTGCGCTCCTCGTAAGGCTTGGGGTCAAAGGGAGAGTTCGGACCGCTGGTTCCTCCTCTCGGAGCTCGCGCCTTGAGCGCACTGCCGTGCCGAGCTGTCGCTCCTGCCAAGTCACCCTCGGTTGCTTCCACGTGTTGGGTGGCCAAGAGGTCGGGCCAAATCTTCCTCCATCAGTTCTAACCACCAATTTTGGGTCAATGATTTGACCGTCCGGTTTGAATAGACAACCCGTTCTGATAAAAAAATTAAAAATAAAAAATAGCCAAAAACCGTTGAACGGGTCGACAATTTGACCGCTCAAATCAATGGATCATTGACTGATTCAATAGTTTTTGGCCAAGGACAGGGTTTGTCTGAACGGTTTCTGGGCTAAATGGTCGAACATCTGGTCGGCGGTTAAAAAATCATGTAATTTAATACACCAAGGAGCACTGAAAAGTGCAATGGCAGCATCCTGGGTTAATTATTTAGTTTGTAAATATAGAAGCTAATTTAAAATTTCAGAATAGAACTTGTTGATTGTCTCTTTTCAGTGATGACTGTGGTATCAGCAACTTAATTCAATTCTGTTAGGGCCCAGCCCGTTAACGGCCCACATACCGACCTGGTTGCTCCACCGAACCAGATCACTTACAGGCCCATCCATCATAGCTCGGGTCTATTCTAGAAGGCCCCGTCAGCAGACCTGCATTATTGAGACCGTTGGAGGATATTCTCCTGACACTGAGTAACTAATTTGACAGGGAATATCCTTCTAAGTTGTAACCACCAAATGATTGAGAAGATTTGCCTTGCCTTGATTTTTGCTTTGATTTTTGTCTTGTTTCTTGTCGTTTTGGGGTCCATCTTTATAAGGGACCTGGCCTGAGGATTAAGCATATTACCCTTCAAATTTCTCTTCCCACTCTTAGTTGAGAATTCATTGCTAATAAAAAACAATTTTCATTGTTTATTACCACATGTTTTCAATTGGGATGCACCAAATGATACTAGTTACTGAGGAAAACTTATTTTACAATATATTTGTAAATTAATCAATTAATTACAATTTATAATGTTTCCACTTAATACAATTTTATTTCTGTTTCTCTTATTTTTCTATCAAACCAAATATAGCCTTGTGTTTTTTATTTGTCTGACAGAGGGGGTGGGGATGAGAGAAGTCAAACTCCTCTCATCAATAAGGAGAGAAAAAAGGGGGAGGAAGAAGAAATAAGGTTTCTCTATATTAACCTCTATATGCTCTATACCTACTTTTAGTGGGTTGGCAACAATAGGTTTCTGGGAGTTACAACCATAATAATTCCAAGAAACCAGTGGTGTAGTGGATGGTTCTAGTATTGTTTTATTTGTACATTCGCAGTGAAGTAAGGATAGAAGGATTGGAAACACTCAACTATCGTAACAACCTTTGTCGAAGAGAACAATTTACAGGAGATGCCATTACTTTTGCATCTGAAGTAATTCTTGTAAATGATGGTTCTTTCTTCAAGGTGATCAAACATCTATCCTGCCCCC